AGATTAAAAAAAAAAAAAAACACTACTCATTATAACTCATCTTCGGTTTTAGTAAGGTTGATCATTATACCTGCTTAGCAGCTTCTGCAAGCAGATCATCAAGCTGAGGAGTTGCAGAGGGGGGAAGTATTTGAGGTCCAGCAACTGCAACATCAAGATTCAAGTAAGTCACTGCCCTCGATGCCAACATTTGTCTGTTCTCTTCAACCCATTCTGTTGAACCTATCTGAAAAAAAAAAATTATACATAGAAATTAAATTAACACATCATTCTACTTATTCGCACTGTGAGCAAAGTCTTAATTTCTCTTATTTATTTTTTCAATTTCCATAAAAGAGATTGAAAGAGAGACCAGGCCGAATTCCTCTCCATCCCAACTGCAGAAAATGATAGTTCTTCTTGGCCTCCACCCCTTCTGCTGAAGCTTATAAAATCTTTCAGCAATCTACATTAAGGTATGATTAGTAAAATTAAATAAAAAAAAAAAAAGAAAAAACTTCAAAGAGATAAACATAGAACTATATTCAGCTGCAAATTACCTCGAGAAGGCATGCGGTCCCACTATTGGGATCGGCAGCCCCAAACGACCATGCGTCCCGATGGTTACCCAGAATAACATACCTGACATTTTTTCCAATTTAAGCAAAAAGCATTTTTAAATTCATAAATGCATAATGGAATACAATACTTGAGATCTCAAGTTAAAAGTATAAAGTCTTATATATGTACTTGAACCAAATTATTGAATCTTGAAGGCCTTTTCTGCTTTGTGTTGGGAAAAATTACCTGTCAGGTTCTTGCCATCCTTCAATTACACCGATAACATTCTCGATTCTTCTAATCACATGGTTCCCCTGAATTTTTTTTTTATACAAATCAAAATTAATGAAATATTATTAACAAAGTAAAATAATGATGAGAGTTTTGTGATCAAACATGACTTACTATGTAAGTCAAGTTGACGGCCGCGGGCCCTGGGCCGAGTCTGTAAACAGGGGCATCCTTCCCTCCTTGCCAATCATCGGCCGCCACCTGTCCCCCAATCTCCCGGATAATGACATCAGCATCAGCCCAAGAGATGGGGAGAGAAGGTATGAGCGGAACATCTGCCACGTGGTCGTCAGGTATCCTCTCGCAGGCTGGGGTGCTTGGCCAGCCTGGGGTGGTGGGGTCACCCATGCCACTGTAGACAGAGCCCAGCTGGACCCCACTCGGAGGCATCCACCTGTCATCTGGAAACCACTCTTCCCCGCCAAAGTCCTTCTTGTCGGTGAAGATAAGCACTCCCACTGCACCCTCAGCAAACGCATTATCGACTATGTCCCCTCTAAATATCTGCCCGTACCTGTATCATGTCATATCATATCATATCATATCATCCGTTTTTTAGATTAAAACACAACTAACAAATGCATGTTACTAGATGATATGGACCGATTTGACCGGTGCCTCTCCTTTTATATAGATTTATCATCCTACTCCACTAATACCAAAATAGAGCAAAAATTTTGGTAGATACGTTAGAGATTAATCCGTTCGTGCATAGGGCCGGAGCTTTGACTTGGAGTCAATTGAAGACATCAAGAATTGATATGGACCCGTCAATTGTTTATTAGGTGAAATTTCAGGTATAACTTATAAGTTGTAGTTTATAAGTTAATTTCGAGCTGCTATTTGCTATCTTATAACTGGAAAAAACTAGATGATATAATATAAGTACATTTAAGTCAGCTGAAACCAAAATTTCAATAAAATTAGATGATATTTCAACCAAAATATTAATTTCAACTGCAATTCCAATGGATAGTCCAATTTTATTATTTCTGTTAGAAATCTTCAACGGATTCCAACAGAAATTCCAACAAAAATATTCTATTGAAATGAGTTTTCCATTAGAATTTGGCGTTGTATTTTGACGATTCCAACGGTAGATTTTCCAACGGGGTGGAAATAAAGATTTCGCTGAAATTACATATTCCAACGGAAATTTCTTTGGTAAAAAACCGTTGGAAAAATAGTCGTTTGAATCATCAAATTCCATCTAAAATTCCAACGGAAGCTATACCATTGGAATATCCATTGGTATATATTATACATAGAATTGTCCGTTGGAATATAACAATTATTTTGTAGTGTCTAGAAAGCTAATCCTACCAAACCAGACTTATTTGATACAAGATGTTTATAAATTAACCAAATAAACTTTGTTGTTGTGATATAATTATATGCTAATAAAGATTTACAAAAATATGGGTATAAATTAATTAAATCTTGTTACACTACCTTGCAAGTACCACACTACCCGAGACGTTGACCCCCATCTGCTTTAACACCTCGTAATCCTCCACACGCCCGTAGTTGGCGTACGCAACGGGTCCCACGGCAGTGCCCGATCGAGCATAAGCATGGAAAGTCGGGACAGCTTCTGCAGTCACATTAGCATACGGGTCGCCCTCATAGGTCTCTTGGACGAGGGCAAACTCGACTGATGGGTCGGTTAGTAGGACAAGAGAACGGTGGCTCGGATAGTCGAGGGCTGCTTCGTAAGGCGAGACTCGAGACTCGATTCCGAGAGAGGATAAGGTGGAGAGTACGTAATCACCCGCTTCATAGTTCGCCTCTGAGCCCGCAATGTGGGGCCGGCGAGTGAGGGTCCGGAGATGGATTGCAATTGAGTCGTTGCTTGAGAAGGAGGGAGAGATGAAGAGAGAATGATAGGAGGGTTGAGAGGGGAAGAAGAGGAAGGAGATGGAGGAAGATAGGGCTATTACGGCCGAGATAATTGCCGATGTAATCGACATTTTTCTTTTTTTTTTTAAATATTGTAGTATGTATGGTGTGTGGAAGAGAAAACCTTAACGAAACGAGAAAGGCATATCTTTGCTTAAGCAATATTGTGATTATTAATTGTGTCGTGAAATTATGACGAATTATTGATTGATTGATTGATTCACTCTAGGCAGCTCTACTTTTTATATAGGAGTTGTAGAGTAAATCTTGAAACAGGATAAAGGATTCAAGAGCCACAAGTGTCATCATATGTATTGTACGCTGTACAATGATAAAGAAACAAAAGCAATATATATTACAAGGACAATAATGTGGTACGGGGACCATGATATCCGTACAGTGGTGCATGGCCGAAGGAATCTGGCGTGGGTAATATTAGGCTTTGGGGACCTTGATTTCCGTACAGTAGGAGTAGGTGCGTATGGCAGGTTGACAGCTGGTGTGTGGGGGTAATTAATGTATGCGTGTGTGCATGTGCTGATATATAGTTTGGAAGGAAAATTAAACGTGATCAATATTGTGTGATGGTGCCTGGTGAGTGCTTTCTGACTGTAGATAGTAAAGAGTGTTGGACATCATTTTGGCGGGAAGCCGCTTTGCCCTATACCATTCATTATTTATTCATTTTTTTGTGATATAGCATGCAGAATGCTCACTTAGCCGACCGGAAAGGTTAGCTCGGTCGTGGACATTTTAAGAGAGCTTCATCTGATTAAGCACTTACATCTCACAGCATCAATGAGTTAACAAGAATACATAAAATATTTATTCATTTTTTTTGAGATAAAGTAAAAAGAAAAAAAAAAGACTAACAAAGTTTGACCAAAATATTTCCAATTGTTTTATGATGTAGTCACTTCGAAAAAGGCGCAAAATGAGTTAATAAGAATACATAATGATATAGCACATAGAAGTAACTCGGTGAACCAGCCAGCCTTATAAACCGTGGGTAGCTAGAGTGGCGAGTTTAAAAGCAACTCGGCAATACCCAAAGCTCGGCGTAATAGGAGCTCGGGTATAAATACCTGTATCTGTAGCTCAACAAGTATCATAACATGAGAGTAGCTCGGCGCAAGTGAAGCTCGGGCATCTGCGCTACTACTTGTAGCTAGGGCACAAATATAGCTCGAACAGTATATTCACGGAGGATAAGAGCTCTGGTAGTCCTGAACTCGGGATAGGACATTAAAGGCGTTTTGTAGTGAGGTGCTGACCTATAAAGGCACCATATAAAATTGAGAGCCGATATGTGAGGACGATTAGGAGACGTGGTCCATAGGAGACATGTGGAGGGTCAGGATAAAAAAAGGAATAAGTGATCCAATTGAGGAAAAACCAAGCATACCGGAGAAGCTAATAACCCTCTATAAATAGTTAAAGTGGGGGAGGAGGTAAGGTTAATCACACTCTATGCGGGTCTTTGCGGGTCTCCGGGGAGCAAGGCAGTCGAGGATCGCTGGGAGGCAAGTTCGAGGTGCAACTGCACATCACATACAATACTATTGGTATATTGTGATCAAACAGATGTGAAAATATTTTGTAGTATATATATGTCTGAAGATTTATAGAAAATGTAAAGAGTCGAAAGACGTACATTTTGCAAAGATCATGAACCGTATATTAGCAATTACTTGGAAAGTATGAAATAAAAAAATTGACGAATACAATATTCCAAATATACCCATATGTTTGTGTAATCTAATAATATTTATTGAGACGTTTGAGATTAATTATTGATAGATGTATCATTTGAAGATTATGCGACAATGGTAATATTGATTGTTCAACAACACAAAGCAATTTTAATGATATTAGATTGTACAAAAGTGACAAGACGGCATAAAAATTGAACGAGGAGACGGGCAAAGGCTTGCCCATTGGGATATTTTGCTAGAGTAGAGAGAGGAAGAGTCGAGAGTATCCCTTAATTGAGTTCTTGACTGAAAAAAAAAACCACCTCTAATTGAGTGTCGATAGCAGTCACATGGTGGCCCATTGGAATATCTTAAGTCACACTTGCATTAACCGACTTGCTAGTTACACAGTAAGCAAGGCTCTTATTCAATCTTCAAAGTTCTCACCCATTTATGATACAAGTCATGTGAAACTAATATTATACCCAACAAAAAAGGCAAATGTGTACACACACATTGTGTAACGGCGTTATTTCTCAAGATCCATTAAATTGGGGCCAATTCTGCTGTTATTGCTAGACAAACCAAGCAAGCAAATATTAAGGTGAAACTAGGTAACATTGCATGAATCCTCAACTTGCTTTGTCACACAAAGACCAAAAAGGTGCTCTACACATAAATAATTTAGACGATAGTGTAGAGTGCAACGCAAAAGACAGTGCAAGCATATCTTCTTTGGTGAAGTGAAAGGAACATTGGGAATTTAGAGGTTTTTCCGTATTACTAGAGAAAGTTTAGGCTGCAACTACAATCATATATCTATTTATAGCCAGCTGCGAAGAAAGTATAGAACCCATATCTCAAAGTAAAATGTCAAACTGTACAATACAATCCCATTCTTGACATGACAACCCCCACGAAGATTTAAAAATGTCTACTGCCATCCATTACAACTACATATATTATCTGAGAACAGAAAGCATAAAGAACTTAGTCATCAATGAGAAGCTCCCTAGCAGCCACAAGAAAAAAACATCGAGCCCTATCTGCAGTCGTAAAGTATGACAGCACTAGACATTTTAAGCACTTACACAACTTAATTTTTGACACAATTCTTCAGAATTCATATAATACGCAGATCTCAAATGCATACGAAAAGACATAGCAAATACAGGTGCAATAAGCCTGAATTCAAAAGTACGTTTCACAAATCTCATCTGGAAATTGAGACTTTGAGTTTCTGTCTCTTTGACATAACAAACTAAGTGCAAATACAAGGAAAAGTCACATTTTACACTCAGTAATCAGTATCACCTCTTCTGTGAATACCATATAAAGATTGTTTGGGTCATAATTATAAATCAAACATATACACATGCACAGATTAAATAAGAGTATCTCAAATGGAACTAGAATTGGATGAAACTGTGCTTCATATACTAACGGGAATTGGAAGAAAAACTCTCACCTCCACAGAGTTTCAATGCAACGTGCTCATTATTTAATTATGTTTCAGTTCATTGGATGCAAATATAATGGAACTATGTTTCAGTTCATTGGATGCAAATTTAGTTGAATGTTGTAATTGTTCAATTCTACAACAATTGATACACGACGACCAAATTCTTCAACAGTACTGAACACTACTAACACATAAAACCCCATTCTAAAGAGTTTAACATTAAACCAGTCTAAAATTAAACCATTGTTGGAATATCACTAGTGAGTTGTCCTACATTGATTCTATAGAGAACATGACCGTATTTATAAGCCTAGTGGGGTACTCCTCCCATCACCAATTGTTTGGGGTAGAACCTCACTAAGGTGCACATAGGCTCAGCCTCTTATGGTGCATTTCACCTATATGGGAACATACCCTCTTCCCCGAATCTATAAATCTAACAAGTATACTAACCTAAGATCTTTTTTCCTAGGTAACTACAACTTCAGTTTCAGGCACTTTCAAGTGATTGGGTCGAAACTTTTCTGTGAGAATCAACAGCTTTTTGTTACAATGCACAACAGAAATACTAAAATAGGAACAAAACCAACTTCAAAAGTATGCTAGAGACATATATATTATAATTTCCCATTAAGATATAAGTAGACAAACAAGCATCTCGTAATTCCCAGTTCTACATCCGTGATATCATTGATAGTCCAAATATAAGCTTGATCTTGCAACATATAATTGAACACCTTACCAGCTCAGTTCTTTTTCTCTGCCAAAGCATCCAAACTTCGTGCTTCAAGCGACACATTGTTGAGCCTCTCAAGAGCCAAAACGAGAGCTTGAGTACCCAAATTACCCTCCCCGTGAGCCTTGAGCGACAAATACAGCTGCTGAGCCAATGCCAGCCCGGGCAAAGCCAATCCCATTTTCTCACACTCCCTCAAACAGATCCCCAAATCCTTCACAAAATGGTTCACATAAAAACCTGCCTCAAAATCCCGGTTCAGTATCCGGCTTCCGTACAAGTCCAGAGATTTGGAGCCGGCGGCACCAGTGGAAATGGCACTCAGGTAATTGGACAGATCCAAACCGGCTTTGTGTGCGTATATCAAACCCTCGCATAAACCCACCATGGTTGAAGCAATGGTGACTTGATTCGCCAATTTGCAGAACTGCCCCTTCCCGGGCCCGCCCATGTAGTAAACCCTCCCCAGATGGCTGAACAGGGGTGTGAGGCGAGCTACCAGGCCCTCATCTCCGCCGGCGAAGATGGAGAGCGCGGCGAGGCGGGCGCCGCGGTCCCCGCCGGAGACTGGGGCGTCCACGGAGGAGCACCCGGCGGCGGATGCGGCGGCGTTGATCTCGACGGCGAGGGAGGGGTCGGAGGTGGTCATGTCGACCACCGCGCCCCCCGCGCGGAGGCCGGAGAGGGCGCCGGTGGATGGGTCGAGGATGACGTGACGGACGTCGGAGGGGTAGCCGACGATGGTGAAGACGACGTCGGATTGGGAGGCGAGGGATCTGGGGGAGTCCGCCCAGTGGGCCCCGGCGGAGAGCAAGGTTTCGGCCTTGGATCGCGTGCGGGTGTAGACCGTGACGGCGTAGCCAGCCTTGAGGAGGTGGGAGCACATCGAGCGGCCCATCACGCCGGTGCCGATCCAGCCCAGCTTGGTGTTGGATGGGCTGATGGGCTCGGAGGCGGCGGCTGTGGCCATGGAGCGGCGTAGGAGGAGGAGGGAGGAGGAGGAGGTGTTGATAGTGTGCTGATTGAGTGACCAACGGATGTGGAATGATAAAAGCCGCATATCGACTTTGTGATTCCTCTATGAGANTCTCATAAACAACCACAAAAACAATGTTCAGTACAACTCGACAACCGAGAAATGAGAGCGCTATACACAAAAACAAAGCACCAACAACTCTAACAAGCTAATTAGGGGTAAAACAGTTACACTCAATTGAACTTTTACCCCTAAACCAAAATACCCAAAAAAACTCAAATAGAGCTACACAAACAAAGAAGGAACAAA